TATATTTTCTTGAATGTACACTTGGTGGCAAATATGAAATAAGCCTGAGTTAAATTTGTGAAAAACTAATTACATAATGAAGTATACCCTAGAAGAAAAAAATGTGTTACACAAAAAGAGGATAAATTCAGAATTTGGTTTCTATAAAATTTGCATTTGTCAATGTAACAATATTGGACGTCATTTAGCAATATTGACTACATTTAAATTAAAAAAATAAGCAACTCTCTTCCTTGGTAGATGAAATTGTGACCAGATAACTTAAGTACCACCTCGGTTTAGAGTCCAGCATTAAATACTGATGAGTCATTAGAAGTTTTCAGAAATTCAGAGTTCTCTCTCTAGCTCTCTTAAATATTTTGCAATAGACAAAAGAAAATGGATTTCAACATAATGTTGAAAATACCTTTAAGTGTTCAGTTTCTCAACTTGTCCACTCAGTTCGGTCAGCAGTTTTCATGTGTACTGTACATAAAGCTAAACATACTTACCTTTATCTTTTGGTAGCATTAAAACATGCTATTCTTGTTCTGCAAGTTAACATTTGAAGCTGGACTAGCAGCATTTGTATTTGACAGCTTAATTAACTGTGGATTCTTGACCTTTGAGATGTAGGAATCCAGTAGTGAATTTATACATGAAGGGTGAAGAAATACATTACATATATAGGAAACTATAAAAGCTAAGGAACATTGCCTTGAAATAATACAAAAGGATCTCTATATTAAATGATGGAAGAGTCTGTATAGGAAAAAGGAGATGTTCCTTCTTGTAAAACATTGGTAAATACTGTAATCAAATAAAACAAAATATGGCAATGGTCACCATTATCCTTTAAAATGGTGTTCAACAGATCCACATGTTTACCATATTCAACTGAAGTTAATTTTCTTGTAACTTTAACCCATCTGATCTAATCTTGCCCTCTAGGGAAGAGGTTTTTAACTGGTCCTTTAGGTATTTGAGGAGCGCTTTTATGTCTCTGCTCAATCTTTTCTTCTCCAGGCTAAATATGTACCATAATTCACCTGGGATTTGCATTTACAAACTGCTCCCAGGGGTAAAATCTCAGGGAGCAACAGCGGTGATCACAGGTGCTTTCTCAGAGATTGAAGCAGTTCGCGCACACATTGTATCACTAGTACAGCTACCAAATATTGGCTTTAAAAATATAAATGACTGCTAAATAACAGTAAAGCATTATTTTGTGTGTGACAGAAAATCTCTTTGCCTCTATGTAATGATTAACCAAACCACTACACATTGAGACTGATTGTTACATCCGATTGCCACTCCATATCTATCCATCTTGCTGCCCTAAACAAATGTTTCTGCACTTGCCGGCCCTGCAGAAGGTTACAACCTGGTTTAAATTTCTGAAGACCTAACCAGACATCTCTATGCTTGTAGAGCCTCCAAGATGACTGCTGCTCGATTTTTACAATATTCATGCCACAAGCTAGAAACTGTAGTTTAGCAACATTTCAAAAGCTGCAGATTCTTCCCCACTAGTTCATTTATTTACTGATTAACAGTTAACTAAAGCAGAACTATAGAACTTGAGGCATCCATATGTCTGTGCCTAAAATTTCCTTTACCAATAGTTAGCACAATGTGTGCTCACAGATTTTGAGAGTTAATATTCCAGAAACATTTGGAAGGCCACTAATTGTTTAGTTCTAAACTAAGCTTATACATAAATCATGTCCTTTACATTTCATTTTCTTAATTCAAGGTGCTTTTCTTTTCCGTTTCATTAAATTACTTAGTAATTGAGATGTTTTATATAGAGTTATATCCTGTACATGTTATGTGTGGCTGAATTAAGGTTAAACTTTTGTGGTGTACATGGCTCTGGAACTAAATAAAAATAAGCCATTGTTTGTCATTGACTTTTAACAGCATTCTTCTGTAAGCTTATAATATCATTGAAGATGCTTCCTTTGATTAAAATAACCCCATAAAGCTGATACATAGGAAAGGTGCATGTAGATGGAAATGGAAAACTTATATCCCACAAGTTACATCCAACTTTCACTATACACAATTTATAGTTCCATCATCTTAAAAAGCTTGGTGCTAAAATTGGTTGACAAAATGCTCAGATTGTGGTGATACAATTTTTCATAGTTTTTTAATTGCTATCTATAAAATATGGAAAAGACCAAATGTTGGCCCTATCTCCTCTGCCAATGTCAAAATAGAGTATCAGAAAAACCACATTCACATAAAAGTTTGGGAGACTTTCAAAGGTTGCTCATCTCATTTTCGAAGATGTGTTTTTGTGCATCATAGATTTCTGTGTCACAATAAGGATTAGTAGAACAAAGATAAGGAATACTCTAATTTTTATGCTGTTGTCCAGCTCAAGCTGTTATATGAAGAGTCTTCTGGGTGTGCATGGAGCCATATCACTTTCCCTTTGTAATGGGATCAAGTAAATTTCTATTTCATCCTAATGAGAAAGCTTTGTTTACAAGTTTCCAATAAGAATATTAAAAAGTTTCAAATCATGAGTATATAACCTAATTTGAATGGGAAATTATAATTAAAAAGGTTTTAAATGAAATTTTTCATCTTGAAAGAGGAAGAAAAAGTACTATATGCTCATATACTGTTCATATGAAGCTAAGGTACAATAGTTTAAATACAATCTGTCTAATATGAAGGTCATTATTTCTATTATTTAGAAATAGAAAATGTTTATGTGTCCTAGAAATTTCTTATATTTCTTATGCCTTATGCAAGGCATAATAATACATTTGGGCTTCTGATTTCCAATAGCTTAACAGTTGTAAGCAAATGTAAATGCTGTGTGTGTTTGTGTAATTAGAATTCTCAAGAAACTTGCTGCTTCCAAGTATATGCCAGTATGGGTATGTTTTATATATATAAATTGTATTCATCTTGAGCATAACTAATTTAACTTGGAAAAGTGGGGCTTTCAAAATATACCTTTGCACTGGGAAACAGTTGTATTATCTGAGATGATGAAAGTTGCATTTCTGGTATTTCAGGTTTGTTTGTTTTTTTGAATGCTCAAATTTAAAAGCAGTTTTAGGTGTGTGTCCACTGAGCCGTATGCTTTTCTTCCTAGGTCAGCATGGCAGATTCCAGCCTACTACTGTACTCACAAGTTTATAATTTTCTGCACAAACACCTTCAGCAGGTGCATATCATGGACCACTAGCCACATGTCCATGGTGAGACAGTGGTTAGAATGCAGTATTGCAGGCAAATTCTGCTGACTGCCAGCAGTTCAATTCTCACTGGCTCAGGGTTGACTCACCTTTCCATCCTTCTGAGGTCGGTAAAATGAGGACCCAGATTGTTGGGGGCAATATGTTGACTCTGTAAACCACTTAGAGAGAGCTGTAAAGCATTGTGAAGTGGTATATAAGTCTGCTATTGCTATTGCCATTTGAAATTTTAAATATTGGATAGTGATATTTATTTTGGAGGTCTTATCAAGTTCTGTTGCACAAGTGCATGGAACTACAGGCAAATGTTCAGTAACTGTTGCAGCAAAACTGGTGAATACTAGTGCACAATACTGCTATTTCTGGTTTACATGGCCAATTAAATCTTTTCATTGTTTGCAAAGTTTTAATTCCCTAGAAGCATTTTAACTGTAATATAGTTATGATGCCTTTTTTGAGCAAAGAAAGATTGAATGACTTTGCTGTAAGTCATTGGATTTGTGGGCCAGTGAAAAATTTAAACACAAATAATGATAATAAACAGAGTGATTTGCAGTGATGAAATGTGGCCTTTATAATTAAGCAAAAATAGCTGAGATAAGAACTGGTTTAGCTACAAAATAGTATTGCTTAATGTATCCTTTTAGCAGCCAATGTTTTCCCTGTGTTGTTATCTTTCATGTTTGTAAGTTCAAACATACATTCATATCTTAAGCCTGCTTCGAATCATTGAAAAGAACAGACTTTTTTAAAAAAAATAGTTATTTCTGAATAAAGACAGAATGTTAATGTACCACTTACTTAGTTGCATTGAGAGTTGTATAGCTTGATGACATAGAACATGTTTTGTTCAGAAAACTCCCCATAAGGTTCTTAGTATTATCAGTTCTCAGGGGTAGACATTCAGCTGTTTATTTCAACCCCCATCCAACTGAGTGATGCTGCCAAAGTTTTGTTCCTGCCTTTGGAAGCCATTTAGGTTTGGATGGGGAAGAACAGACTTAATCTCATCCCTAGCAAGACCAAGTGGCTATGAGTACATGGACTTTCCAGATTAAGGAACTTTAATTTCTAGTTCTACATAGGATGGCAGTTCCCCAGGTAGAACTGATATACAAGACTGGACTGTCAACCTGTGTTTCAAGACTGGGTGGGAGCTGTGACGAGGAAGGCATTTGCACAGATTTACCAGTTACGTCCAGTCCTTGAAAGGAAAACCCTTCTCACAGTGACTGATGTTAGTGTTGTGTCATATGTAGATCATTGCAATATGCTCTGTTTGACAACAACAATGGTGACTCACTTAATAACCATTGTAAAAATGGTTTAAAATTGAATCCAATCACAGGCTGACTTGACTTTCAACTGCAATGACTTACCACCAAAATTCTGGATTCAACTGTGGTTGTAATAGCAGTATTCCAGTATTTGAGGAGCTGCCACAAAGAAGAGAGGGTCAATTTATTTCCCAAAGCACCAGAAGGCAAGACAAGAAACAATGGATGGAAACTAATCAAGGAGAGAAGCAACCTGGAATTAAGGAGAAACTTCCTAACAGCGAGGGCAGCCAATGGAATAGCTTGCCTTCAGAAGTTGTAGGTGCTTCATTACTGTAGGTTTTTAAGTAAACACTGGACGGTCTGAAATGGTATAGGGTCTCCTGATTGTGCAGTGGGTTTGACTAGAAGACCTCCAAGGTTCCTTCCAGCTTTATTTTGATTGATTGATTGATTGATTCAAGGACTACCTATATATAAATGTGAATATAACCTGCTTCTCTTTTTTCCTTTCTTGTCATAGGAGCAGTTCTGAAAGAAGGAAAGAGAAATCAAGGGATGCAGCAAGGTGTAGAAGAAGCAAAGAAACTGAAGTATTCTATGAGTTGGCCCATGAGCTACCATTGCCACACAACATTAGCTCACATCTGGACAAAGCATCTATTATGAGGCTTGCAATCAGTTTCCTACGGACACACAAGCTGTTATCTTCAGGTAAGAAAAAAAAATCTTTCAACCATGATCAATTCCATTGTATTATCTGATGACCCAGCAGCTCATCTTGTTTTCCATTTAAAGAGGATAGCCTGATCCTAGGAAATTCCAATTTAATAAACTTAACTCATTTTCTCCTGCATGAGCTACAAGCTCATCAAAGAGTTTTCTGAAGTCATTATTTCCCATTGCAATCATTTTCACAGAAGCTTCAGATAGGTAGCTTTACTTTTTACTCTCCTAAGAAATATAAAATGTTACTTTCTATTGTGAATAACAGAAGATGTCCCATAACATGATTGCTGAGGTACTTTTTGTGATGGAAACATTTTGCTCAATTGAGTTTTTCCTCCTAAAAGCCCTTTGTCTGTGCCTCTGCTTTGTAGAACATTGTAGGAAGAAAGCTGTGCTGGTTTACAGTAGCCAAAAATAAGGGATCTGGTGGCAGCTTTTCAGACTAAAAGGCTTAATAAAAAAAAATTAGTATGAAAAGGTACCAGCAGATTTCTGCTGATTTTTGTCATGCGCAAGTGAAATTAGATTTCCTCAATCCAGTTTTCCAGATGTTTTACACCAAAATTTTAATCAAGCAGGAGCAATATAAGCAATCTGTGCAGCATGTAAATTTGGTCTTTAATTCAAATCTTCATTTAGCCAATTTGGCTGGATAGATTTTGACAAATATTCCTATTCAGATCAATTTAGATACCATTTTAAATATATCTTTGAATCCACTCTTTTCTTCCTTTCATCAAACAAGCTGGGGAATTAAGAAGGGATGTGTCTAGTAATTTGTTCCTTGCTATTTTTTTGCTTAAACACCATCTTCTCTGTGCTACTTATATCGAAACTAGCTATAGTGTGGGTAGCTATGGATCCACCATAATGTGGATGGCTTGTCAATAGAAAACAGTAGAGGAAAAGGATTAATTTGATATTTTCATTATTGTCTGATGTTCAAATTGGGAAATCTTTAGACTAGGGTTTAAGATTCATTTAAAACAACTGCCCTTCTTGTTTCCCTAAGGAAAACTGAAGTATTGTCAGTGAATTACTGTCTACATAAGTCCCAAGCTCTTTGGAAGAAAAAAAAGGGGGTCATAAATGTGATAAATAAAATAAGCATATTGTCTAAGTTGGGTAAGCAAATCAATTCATTATTTTACCACACAAGTAAGGAGTAAATATGTAAAATGAAACCTGAAAATTTTAAATTAAAATGATTTTGAGCCTTCAGAGTTTCTAATCCTAATTAAAACACTAGAGATTATATATTACAACAGTTCAGTAAAGGAATAAAGATACTTCAATTGGATGTGGAAAAATTATTCTACATAATTATATTTATAAGCAGCTATAGTAATTCAAATGCTTCATTTAAATGGGATACATATATACAATAATATAATGATACAATAATACAACAATAAACATTCTGTCTCTCATGGACTATTTTAATAACTATTGGTCATTATAACTCTGGTCTGGACAAAATGTATGACTGCTTGCGTGAGAGGATTTTTTTATCTTTCCCTTCACTAGCTGGAATGCTAAATAGGGAAAAAAACTGTTTTCAGTTCAACAAAGTTCTGTGAACTGAAATATATATTTTCATAGAAAGAATACAGTAGTGTATCCATTTTTCTTTTAACAATTCAATTTTGAAATTTAATGTTCACATTATGTTTGAATGATGCTTTTATATGTGTACCATAAATGCCGGCGTAGAAGGCGACCCAGCGTATAAGACGACCCCCGTCTTTATAGCCGGGCCGCATTCCTAGAATGTCATCTTATACACCGGAAACTACCAGTATTTCCGGCGTATAAGACGACTCGGCGTATAAGACGACCCCCGTCTTTGGCGCCGATTTCAGAGCTCGCGGAAGTCGCCTTATACGCCGGCATTTACGGTATTTATAATATTTATATATTTATCGTATTTATTTTTTTATTTGCTTGTCTCAAACTATATCACTCAATATGGCCTCAATGCTCTGTGCCATAACATCTGGCCTAACTGTGTTATATATAATGGATTTAAGATGAAAAAAATAAAATAAACGGGGACCAGTTACAGGGAGAGATAGTGAGCTTCCATTCACTGGATATATTTAGCAAAGCTAGTCACAATCTGTTCAGAATGGTTTCATTTGAATTTTTGCTCTGAATAGACATTGGACTTGATGGTGTGAATAACTCTTTCCAACTCTCTGATTATATGAAAATACTTGAAACAGAAAAGTGGACCTTAATAAATCAGATTGTTTGATTATGTAAGCAAATAACAGTATTGTTCTAAGTAGCATCCTTTCACTGGAACAATTTGCTGTATCTCACAACTATCCATGTGTAATAAAAATCTGGTTGTGTGCTTGCTTTTCCCCAGGGGTTTGAATCGTTCCTTAAAGGTAGAGCCCTTACTTTTGTGTAGAAGATCCTGGGAAATTCATCAGGGACTGACATCTGTAATAGGAAAAGGCCCTTGTTTAAAGACTTGGTGAGCTATTCCAAGTTAGGGAAGATAACATTTTAAGCTAAAGTATAGAGGCCAAGAGCCATTATAAAACAAATTTCTTTTTCTTCCTGGCTATCTAGGAAGGAAATGGAGCCCAATACCATTATTTTGTTTTTGAACTGTTGCTTTGATAATGCTGGTCAGAAGAGGAAAGCACACTGGAACTTAGTAAGGCTACTGAACTTCCTCAGCCTGGATGGCTCTAGCTCTGTTGGGTTTCAGCTCCCAAAATTCTTAGCTATTGCCCATGCTGGCTGAGAATTCTAGGGCTTGAAATTTAGTATTTCTGAAGGGCACTAGCTTGGAGAAGGTGGTTTTAGACTGCAAATGTAAAAGACTCCATACTGGAGTTGCCCCAGATAAAACTCAAAAATCAAAATTCATGAGCTAGCCATTATGCATAAGGTATTTTATGGAACAGAAAGTAAAAAAATAGTCTACTGATTAAATCTTCGTGAGTTCCTCCTTGCTGCTAGTGTGGTCTGCAGAGATAGCTGTGTTGCATATCTGGAGTTAAAAATCTGTGATTTCTATTGAATGTCAGCATTTAACAAACAAGGTTGAATTCTATATTTTTCATTTCCTCCATTCTTGAAAGAATCATTTATGCCAGGTACTTAAAAGGAAAACTCCTAATTGTCGGAAGTAGTGTTCTTTGCCTTGAATTTAAATGGGTTAACATTTTGAATCAAAGGATTGTATCATTGTTTTGGCAAAGTGCTCTCATGTATCAAGTAGAGGGGGGAGGGGAAGTTAAACAGTTTGGATTACAACAATAACGAGGAGGGGAAGTTAAACAGTTTGGATTACAACAATAACGAAATGAGTGCTGCATACTTTCCTTTTCTTCTGGGGCATGTTCTTTTTCAAAGTTTGTCCTTTGCTCATTCTCAGTTAAGCGTCTCAGTTATATTTTCCAGCACAAACTGTGTTTACAACTTGGATAATAACACTTCAGAATTTGTAATCTTATTTTTAACAAAAAAATAAAAAAGATAGTTCTCCTATCAGTAGAACATAACGTTTCTATCAGTGCAACATAATATTTTATTCATTAAAGAGGTGAAGGCCATTACTATGTCCAGAGTTTAATTTCTCTTTAAGTGTCACATATTATGACCACTTATCTAAATCAGAGATTGGTAACATAGGATCCTCTATATACTTAATATTCTAAGAAATAAATAGACCTAAACACGTATCACTTGATACAATGTTTTTATGGACATAAAGATGTATTCATTAACTAATGAAGAATATCAACTGTTAATGGGAAAAATGGCTGTCTAAATGCTATTATGAAAGAATATCATTAAATGTTAATAGAAGGTACTGGAAATTACTGAACCAATTAAAATAAATGAGAGACGTCAGTCTTTTCTTAGACTTGGTGTTTTCATTAGTAAGTAAATCTTTCATTAAAAAAAAATCCCAAAGTTTAAGAAACAGAAACTTTAAAAAAAAAAGGCTTTAGGCTAAAGAAGTGAATAAAATGATTTTAACAGACTAACAGAGTTGGAAGGGACCTTGGAGGTCTTCTAGTCCAAAGGAAACCCTACCATTTCAAACACATGGCTGTCCAATCTCTTCTTAAAAACTTCCAGTGTTGGAATATTCACAATTTCCGGAGGCAGGTTCCGCTGATTAATTGTTCTAACTGTCAGAAAATTTCTACTTATTTCAAGGTTGCTTCTCTTTTTGATTAGTTTCCATCCATTGCTTTTTGTCCTCAGGTGCTTTGGAGAATAGGTTGACTCCCTCATCTTTGTGGCAGTCCCTCAGATACTGGAACACTGATATCATGTCACCCCCTAGTCCTTCTCTTCATTAGACTAGACATTCCCAATTCCAGCAACCGTTTTTTATATGTTTTAGCCTCCAGTTCCCTAATAACCTTTGTTGCTCTCCTCTCCATTCTTTCTTAAATGATTAAATAATATCAGGACATTCTTTTAGTGTTTATAAAGGATATGGTTAGAATACTTGTGTTTGGGTGTGAATGGAGAGTTAGCCACATAGCGCAATAAAGGTGATTTGGCATTTATAATTGTTGGGGGGGGTATGATCCACCATGCTAGCAATCTGCTACAAATTAACTTGAAGAAATAATGCTTTCTTTCAAAATGAAAGAATTGCAAAACTGTCTCTGGTTTCCCTTCTCTTCAATAAGATTAGTGGATAATAACATACCCCTCCTCCCCAATTGCTCTTAAATTGGTCAGGATGATTCTTTGAGACTGTAATTAAAAATACTGTGAAATCCAGAAGGATTGCAGTTGGTACGGAGCTGGATTGCTATTATTCCATTCATCCCATTATCTAGCATTTTTGATGCCAGAGAGCTTGTTGAGTTTGAGTTCTTACATGTTAAAATGCTCTTTCTGCTTCATTTTTTTTCTCCTGGTAACTTTCAGTACTATTTATTTAGTAACACCATGAGTTTGTCATTTGAAGAATATGAGGAAAGGCAGAGTTTGAATCAAAGCGTGTATAAACCAAAATGAATGGTTAATGTTTCCTTCTTTCCTCCCTCCCTCCCTCCCTATGAGCAAAAAATACAAAACCATAGAATTTGCAGAAATTGTAGGAATTTAGAAATAGATTAAATTAATTTTCGTAATGGATCGAATCAAGGGGAATTCGTTTCTCAGACTTTTTGAATGTGAATCCCAGCATGTGAAATGTGAATATGATGGTAGCAATCTCTGACTCCACTTTGCTCTGGGTAAACTTAACAAAAATCTGGCTGTCAAATTATGAAGAGACTGATTGCTAAGCTGTAAACCCTAACCCTTGAAATTATGGAAACAGTGATTTAAATACATATTGGCCTTTTGTACAAAGGCCTCTATCCTAATAATAGTAAAAAAAAAAAAAAACACCTCATTCACTAAGTAATTAAAATGGCATCATCCCTATTCAATAGCAGGCAGGGGAGAAGAGGAAATTTAAATGCATCATCCTGTAAAAGATCTTTGCTCACTAGAATGTGGAACATAATGTCCCTTCACAATCTTTTACATGAAATAAGGAAGAGTTTTCAAGCTTAAACTTTAGCTTGTAATAAAGATTTGGAGGTTTAGAAGTATAACTATATTATACATAGAACTTTATTTCAGGAAAAAAATAAATGTAATTACAGTATTATTGGAAAATCTGCTATATCAGATATTAATTCCTTAGAAATAATTATATTAAAAAAGATAGTTTGCTTCTTCTCTGATCAAAATGAACATCAGGAAATCATTTCATATATATTGCTAACAACAACAACAATGATTAATTCTGAAATCCTCACGTTGTTTTTTTTTATTGAAAATTTTTTTAAAAGTTTTACAAATCAACCCTCACCCAATCCCTCCCAAACCCACCCCCCTCCCCCCTCCCCAAACTTCCCAGAACTGAATATAGGCTTATTTAAAATTTTAAAAAACCTTTTACAACTTATGAGATAATTAATAATAAGATATACATAACATAAACATTAAGAAAAAAAGTACTTAAAAAGAAATAAAAAAGAAAGGAAAGAGAGAAAGAAAAAGAAAAAGAAAGAAAGATAAAAAAATAAAAGAAAGAAAGAAAAAAAAGAAAAAAGAAAACAAAAGACGGAAAAAGAAAAGAGAAAACAATCTATACAAACTATGAAAAAGCTAAATGATATTTTTCCATATCCAAATTATGTTGTATAAAATTTGTCCATTTTTCCCATATAACAAAAAATTTCTCTTGAGATTGCTCCTTTAAGACAGCCGAAATCTTTGCCATTTCCGCCAAGTAAGAAACTTTATAGAACCACTCTTGTAAAGTAGGCAAAGATTCCTTCTTCCAATATTGTCCTACTAACAGCCTTGCGGCTGTAATCAAATTTAACATCAATATAACTTCCTTAGCATCACAATCAGTAACAATATCTAATAAAAATAATTGTGGGGTAAATTTAACCCTCCTTCTAAAGATTCTTTGGATATTCCACCATATCTTAATCCAAAAAGCTTTTATATTTTTACACGACCACCAAATATGGTAATAAGTAGCATCCAGACAACCACATCTCCAACATTTAGGCTGTAGATCAGGGTACATAATAGACATTTTTTGTGGATCAAGGTGCCATCTATAAAATATTTTGTAAAAATTCTCTCTTAAATTCTGCGCTTGTGTAAATTTAACATTCCTCACCCAGATAAGTTCCCAGGTATCCAATGGGATTGGTTCACCAATATTTTGTGCCCATTTAATCATACAATCTTTGATTAATTCAGATTCTGAATCCATTTCAACTAAAACCCCATAAACCCTCTTAATATGAGTTGGTCTTTGATCCCTTCGAAATCCTCACGTTTTTAAGAATACTAAAATGTATGCTTCACTAAAGCCACCTAAAGGTCTGAGTATGATCTTTTGTATCATTTCATAATAGGAAATGTTATTCCCATGTCTTAGAGTTCAAAAGAGTGCAGTATACCAAACCTTGCTTTATTCTGGTTCCTTCTTTACTTAGTAACCCATTTCCCTTTGATTTTTCACAGTAGGCAGCTGAACAAGAATGCTGGGAAGGAAACCTTCAGACTGGGGGTCTGGTGCCCCGGCTGAGATTACTATTGCAGGAAGCTAACTAAACAATAGCTGTAGAATATTGTTCCTATTTTCTTCTTGGTGTTCTTGGCTTGACTGGTATTCCTCCCTGAAATTCTTTATAGAGGTATCGCTCATTTAATCATGCAGTAACTGCCAGAAATCCAATAGATGCAGGCATTGAATTAGGCTACATGATTTACTTTATAGGACAATCCTTTCTTTGAAGATATCTTCTGTTCATCCAGCTACCTAATTCAAGTCTGGTTTAAACATAAATAATAAAGTGTAATTTGTGCATGAAGAAATTGCCAGTTCTTTAAATTTCATCACCAACACTTAGCATCTCAATGGAAGATTTAAGCAGAGAGGGAATATTATAGTGTGATGTACCATATTTTTGCTTATATTGTAATTATATCTACTTTTAAACAATCATGCCTTTTAATCTATTGTTTTAGTTATCAATTTGCTCTATTATGGGTGGTTAATTGGTAGCCATCTAAAGTAGCATGAACCTCTGGAGTTGTGGGCAAGGGTTTGTTCTTTAATGTATGAAGACCGAAAGTCCCAGTTGTAGAAAGACTAACTTGCAATTTTAATCTGAATAGCTTTGTTCAGATGTTCTTTTGGGACATGAACCAGTGGAGGTAGTGTGCATCTCTGAAGTCTGATCTCCTGCAACTCTAACAAAAAGTTAAGCTTCTAGAACTTGGTCAACCAAACAAATATATAAAATAAAATGAAATTCAAGTGACTTCTGACATTTTAGCCTTGGATAATGCAAATCAGCGTAGATAAGGCCTATGTTCATATGGCTTTGAGTTTACAAACCCTGGCCTGCAAGAGGCAATAGTAGACCTGAAAAGTCATATGGAGACTTCTTCAAGTTGAGCTGAACTCCTGTTGATTTAATGGAAATATTCATGAAGCTTTATTGGTATGCTATAGAAGTGGTTTACTAGTACTCTCTTTCAGGATGATTTTCCAGTTTGCCTGTCTAAAACGATAGCATTGGTTTTCTGAAGTGTTCTTCCATTTAAGAAATAATCAACTCTACTCAGCATTTTAGATTGTCCCAAATCAGCCAGACGATTAATTTGAGATAGTCTAGGAGAGAAGAAAGTGCTCTTTTTGGTTACTGACTACAGTTTTGACAATATGTTATAGAACAACAATAGAAAAGCAAGGAAACTTTGCTATTGATAAAATAGCTGCCCTGGTGAGTCACAAAACACCTTTTAATTAGAAAGCAAATTAGTGAGATTGCTCCCTGCTATTCCACATTAACTCCCCAGGATAGTGTCTACATTTTTTTTCTGGGCAGGTGTGCGTATCTCTTGTGGCTGACTCTCCCGTTTTTATTTTCTAAGAATGTATGTTGTCCCATGTGAAGCCTTGAGACATTCTTAAATAAATATGGTATTTTGTTTTGCAGCATATTTCCTTCCTTTTATATTTTTAACTTAAAAGCATCAAAGGAAATAAGTGAAGTCATGTTGCCTCAAGGGAGGTATCCACTGGCTCATTAGGGGCAGTGGGCACCACATTGCCTGTCTCTAATAGACAGCCCCAGAGAATGTTTCTCTTTACGGTTTAGGCTAAGCAAGCAAAGGTTATATTGATCATTTTTCTGAAGGATAATTTTTTATTTATTTATCAAACTTCTATGCCACCCATTTTGCCAAATGTTTAGCAACAAAGACTTGGGCTCTACTAACATTCATTTCTTTTTCCTTCTTTTGCTTTCCCCCCCTCCCCCTCTCTCTCTTCCTCCCTCCCTCCTTCCCTCTCTCAGCAGCTGGAGGAAACTCCCTCTGCCCTGTGGCTATTTATGGTAAAAGTAATGGGAAAAAATAGGAAACAGATAGGAAGCTGTTCCAGAAAAGTGAGTTGGGAGAGAAGATGTCTGAATTTAGCAGAGCCAAAGAGCTAGCATGGGCTACAGCTGATCCTGTTTATAATCAATATTAATTCTTGTCAGATATTGGATCAACTGGCATATAGTATTTCTAAGAAAATGCACAGGATTTTATAAATTATATGAATGAACAATTTAACTTGACCACTGCAAGGCTAAAAGCACATATTTGGCAATAAATCCACAGATGAACTGTGGGTTAATTCTGAGTAAAGATAACTGAGCTTAGAGGACAATTGAGGCTATATGTCAATGAATGAGAATGTGGATCAAAAAAATGAGAGGCCAGGTTTGTATATTCTCTTCTCATTCTTTTTCTTTTCAGTGTTTCATGCATCTAATATCAGGGTATAAAAACTCCACAAACTAATACTTGTAAGCTTAATTTCAGGTGCTATATAAGGTAAGTATTGTCTAATTTCCCAGCAAATCATAAAAAGGAAAACCATCTTGGAAAATCCATAATGTTCATCATACAGATTTTATTTTTACTTATTTATTAGATTTATTTGCTATCCATCTTGCCTGGGGTAGCTTAAAACATTAAAAGCTATAAAACTATAAACCATAAATATTTCTAAAACAATAAAATAGAATTACAATCAAAAGTAAAATTGCAGTTAAAAAATGGGGGGAGGGAGCAGGATGTACAAGGGTGAGGTGGGGTTTTCTCTTAATCCATCAACCACCTCCAGCATGATACTCCCCTGTTGGGGCCCTAAGCCAGCTGGCAAAGCCAGGTCTTCAGATTCTTATGGCGATCAGGAAGGTTCGGAGCAGATGTCACCTGGTGGAGGGGGGAGTTGTTCCAAAGGGCAGGAGCAGCCTCTTCTCCTGGACCCCACCAGCCAGAATTCTTTGACAGATGGGGCTCATAGCATGCCAGCATGGATGGAGCGGCTACTCCTATTCGGTGAGACTGTAACCTCCAGTAACCTGGACCCATGCCCTGTAGGGCTTTAAAGGAAATAAACAACACCTTGAATTGTATCTGGAAGCAAACTGGCAGTCAGTGGAACTCACAAAACAATGGTGTAACATGACCATTTTAGGGGCCCCAAGAACTGCCCACACCACTGCACGGTGCACCAGTTTCAACTTCCGAATGCTCTTCAAGGGCAGCCTCATGCGGAGTACATTACAGCAGTCCAAACATGAGATGACTAGGGCTTGAGTGCCTGACTGCAGGGATGTCTGATCCAGGAAAGGGTTCAACTGGCGCATAACACAGCTCTCCTATCTGCCACCTGCTCTTTGAGCAGATTTTATTAATTTTCCACAATTTACATACTTTTCTAAACAATTTGTGTAACAAGTTTAGTACTCTTTTAATGCATTTACTAGCATATCATTTTCCTACACCAATTAATGATTTATTCCCTACTTGAACTCTTTTATTTATTTCTTTTAAACACAGATATTTTGCCAATATTTCTATTTGTCAGTCTTACGGTTTAAAGCTTGGCCACAATTATTTTCATCATGAATAACATTGATCCACTCAGCATTCATAAGGCAATCTGTTCTTCCTCATTTTCCAATAGGAGAAAATAAAGAAATGTTTTATATCACACTGCATCCCTAACATGATTTTATTCAGCTTATGTGCAGTTGTTTAATAAAGATTTTTGTTTCAATAAAGAAGAGTTGTTTTCAGGAAGAGATGCAAGACTGCCATTTTCTGTGATTCATTTATAAAAAATCAAGGATAGAATAAACTTCTTTGAAGAGATGGGAAAGGTTGAGAGCAGAATCTGGAAGATGAGACAGGTAAATTCCCACCTAGGAAAATGGCTCACCTAAAAGCTTTGCAGAGCTTCACCTCTATAAATATAAGGATTGTCCTTTGAGCAAATCAAGGAATACCATAGCTGATCCCACAATAAATTGGCTTTAACAACTGATTGAGGGTTACTCTCTCACATCCACAATGCTTGTTTCTGTTATCCAGCAGTTTTGTGTCCTTGCACAAATGTCTCACTATTGCTCCTGGAGATGAGGAAGATGAAGTACCTTGGGAGGATCCAGGTACAGAACAAACTCAACATCATGGCAGCCCTTGTATCTGAACAAGACTATGGATCATAGGTTAATGGCCCATAGGAATGGAATTACTTTTGGAGCCTTTGAGGAAATGTCTTTAATCTTAACACACATTTTTTCTTGTAATTTTTGTGATGATTTTTACATTACTTCTCCATCTTTCCAGTATTTTAAAGAACTTTTCAGTCAAGAAGTATACCATCCATAATACAGCTTTATATTAGGATGGTGTCATTTAAATAAACTAAAATGCACACAAATAAATGTAGACACTTTTTCTAAAGTTGAGTTTCAGATTTGGATCTCATTTGAATCATTTACTTTTGGACAGAGAATCTGATTATTAACTCTTAGCTACATTCCAAGAAGTTGGCGTACAGGAAATGAACAAGCATCTGTGGAAACATGTTCTTCTCCTTTAGAACCATGTACATCCTGACAGTAAGAATCAATCAAAACTTGTTTACAAAGGTTATTTTTAGCATGAAGGAATATCTTCTCTGAATATTTCAGTAGACATTTTCCCCTAAGAAGACAAGACCTTGTTTATATATTGATTATTAGCACTCTCCATAACTGATAATTTTCCTTGTGAACAAGGCTTTAATTTTCAAATATAGCACAACTTTCCAGTATTAAGTCAAGTGATTTGTGTATTCCTACCCAAATATTATCATCAACACTGTAGCTGTGCTATGCCACACAGACATACACTGCAAGTTTTTTTTGTTCACTGTGTGATGGAAATAAAAAATTGTATCCATTCCAGTAGGTCCATGGATTTATTTATTCTTATTTTATTGTATGCTTTAATGTACTGTAAAAAAATTAAAATGAACAGTTAACACAGTGCAAAAAAGCTTATTATATTTAATTTAGAATATGAATGTCACTCAGCCCAGTTTTTTAATAGATAGTTAAATTTTGACTATGAAAAATAATATTGATATGACTTCCATTGCACCGAGACCCAGTTTGTAGATACGGTAGAAGCAGAATATATATCATTAATCTAAAATTTAAATCTGGGGTCTTAAAGTGTCAGTGTCTTTCTACTATTGAAAAGCAACTTTTTTGCTTTGCTTTCTCTACTTTTTTAATTTTTTCTTTCTTTTCTGTATTCTCTTTTTTATTTCTTATTTAGTTATCACTTGTCTTTTTATCTTTATGTTTGAATTGTTTTTATCTATAAAAATCTCTTTAAATATAATTAATAGTAATAAAAATAAATTAATATCACATCACAAACCAATGGATATTACACAAGAATGAGATACTAATAGGATACCACCCTAACATATATGTTCCCTTGTGTATTTTCTACTTCCAGGAGAACAAAGTTGCCACTGAAAAAGAAACTCTGATTTACTCGCACTTAAGATCATAAGAAGCATACTTTACCATTATTTCAAGCCCAACTTTGTTAAAGTGGGTGTTCCAACACTTTGTCCATGAGCATTTGCAAATAATTAATTATAAATAATTTTTGTAATAGTTTATTTAAAAATACTTTAGGCTTAAAATCTTCCAGAACATATACCAATATTGACATTAATTCAGATGTTTTAATGATAATGCATCTGGACAAAATCATGAATTCAGATCTTTTAATGGAATATATTACCATTTTGAGCAATGCATATTCCCCTTGTAATAAATTAGAATGATTTATAAGCTGATCTAAAGTATTAATGTCCCTGCTTGCCCATGACTACCAAATAAGGCTTATGCCCTGAGGCTTTCTAATTGTGGCCATAGTAGTTTTTTTTTACTTGATTGCTTATATGCCATAAAACATTTAGCCATAATATATGTCCAGTAAATAAAGCTGAAAATCAAGAAAGTTATAACGATAAACTTAATTTAGGTAATCTAGGATGGGATTGTCCAACCTTGGCAACTTCAGCTATGGATTTCAACTCCAGAATTCTTGGAGGATTCCATGGCTGGCTGGGAAACTCTTGAGAGTTGAAGTCCACAAGTCTTAAAGTTGCCAAGTTGGTCATCCCTGATCTAGCAGTTTGTCCTTTTCCTCAACCTTGAAATTATATTATGTTTTGCAACATTGATCTTTCCCTATGTAGGTAGGTATAATTTTTATACTTGCATTTATATTGATTTTGATCTGAGATAAGGATTTTTATTTATATATTAACAAATTTCCTTGAAATAATTATTTCTGATACAAGAATCCCAGCAAAGAGTAACATCCTAATTTTTTTTCACATTTTCATGGAAATATTAGAATTTATAAAAGATATATTAAACTTGCTGTAATTTAATTGGGTAGACTCATAAACTGTTGAATAATATCAAACACAAATATATTATCAGAATACCATAGACGTTTATTCTCGCTCCTAGCCTCTGTTATTCCTAAAATGTCCTGTTTGTCTGATAAGACAGGCTGAGATTTCTAACATTAAATTAAATGTAATAGGAGATAAAGGATATTCTTGGCTATCTCCATAGATATTCTTGACTTCCACAGAGTATCTTGAATAAAATAATGCAGATTCATGAATAAGCAAGTGCATAATTTGTAGGCAGAAAAGATCCCATGCCTGTTCTATGAATAGGTGTGCTTTTGTTTATTTTTATGCCCTCAAGTCATTGTTGATTCATAGCAACTGCTTGAGGGCTTTCCTGGCAAAATTTTGGAAGTGGTTTACCTTTGTTTCCTAGGGCTGAAAGAGTGACTGCCCAAGGTCACTCAGCTGGCTTTGTGCCTAAGGTGGGACTAAAACTCACAGTCTCCTGATTTCTTGCCTGATACCTTAATCACTACACCAAACTGGATCTCTCTATGGATAGTACACTGCCCCAAAGGTCCTTATGGCCCTAAGCCTGTTGTCCTTGTGGGAAGAGTTTAAGATGTGGCTGTTCTAGCAGTCCCTGAGTTAGTTTTCTGACTGTTCCCACAAAGTACCAGCTGTGGTATAATAATATATCTGATTTGTTCTTCCTAGCATGTTTGTTTTGCTTTTTTATAGTTTTAACTGTCTGCAAGCCTTTCAGTGACTAATGAATGGGCAGTCTTAAAAGTGGATTGACTGGCAATTTTGAAAAGGATTTCTGCCTGAATCAATGGCCTGACTTAGTTTAAAGTAAACTCCTGTGGTTCCCATTCACAGCTCTGTTTTATAAGAACTTCTATAGGCATGGCTTGGAGTTTCTCTGCAACTTCCATTTTCTATTATTCTGAACACATATATTCTTATGGCTACATCTCTAATACCAGACTGCAAACAGCAAACAAAAGAGCTTAATTTAGAAAATACCTTTCTCAGAAAAGGAGCCTATATTTGGCACTTGTTACAAAATGTCATTAGGAAATTATTTAAATACAACATAAGACAATATTCATTTTGCAGCCACAGTAAAATGGGTGGGTGAGCTAAAGTGTTTCCTTCTCTGCTCAAGTGTATTGAGGTTCAAGACAATGGTTCCAGTAGCTGCTTGAAATTCTCAGTCTATTTCATCATTTTTCCTGCTTCTCAAAGTCTTCCTTTTTGTTCTCGTAGGGCTGGCTGTAATAGAAGTAGAGGGAAGTAGCTGCCATATATGGGAGGTACAAATGAGAATCAGATTCACTTTTTTAACTTCTGCTCTCTGAAGCTAGATTCCAAAAGATGCTTCCATCCTGCTGCCTTGAGCAGGTTGGTTTGCATCCCTAATTACTTTTCACAATACATCACAGGTAGTCTTGCTGGGAAAGGTCTCTCTGCGAAAAGAAGAGTGAAGGCCAAAGAAAAGAGTGAAAAGGGCAGCTGTCCAGGATTATGCTGTGTATATGTGACACATGCTTATGCAGCCATTATCTATGGTTTGATATATTGAAACAGAGAATAAGCACAAGCCAGGGGCACAATGAGTCAGTGGCAGCAAACTGCTGCCATTAACCCTAACTGAATTTGCTGCCCTGGACTAGTGTTGAATTCAGAAAATATTATTGTCCTGTATTTGTGAAAGCACCACTATGTTCCTCCATCACATACATACAATCTTGGACCAGCCTTTAATATCTCTGAAATAATCTATTTATTTTATAAGGGGGTCTCCAGAGTGCTTCTGCATTTATTTACAAAAGGCACCAGCAATGTATATGTAGATGGTTTGCCATTATATGCAGGAACATATAAACTGCCCAGATGATTTTGGGGACCCAAAGTTCTGATATTGGTATGTTTGTCATTGAATATGTATCTCCCAGTCTCATGTGAGGAGTAAGAAGGGTACTAACATCTACCACACTCTCTCTCTAAGGCAGTTGTGCCACATACGGCAAGGTAAAAATACTATAGAGTCAAGTTCCATATCCTTATAACTTCATATTTGTGTCAATTTTGTGACATGGGTAGTTATATAAATTTGATAAATAAATAATTGGCAACAGAATGAACTAAATGGAAATTACAACAATTGGAGTGATCATATCCAGTGAGAGCATTTTTCTAGGAAAAAGAAAAAACAAGACAAAAGTAAGAAATGGAACAAAGAGTAGAGGAACATGGCAACTAGCTAAGGGTGAGAGATAATGTATGGAATAGGGATGACATTTACTCTGTACCCATATTTCTTTTCATAGCCAGATCTCTTCACTTACTTATCTACAAATAGGATGGATGGATCAATGAATACTATAGTATCTGTTTTTGCCCTCTAACATCCAAATCCTCCCTACATACACATACACCCATGGCATGTTATGCTTTGTTCCCCATATCATATAATTAACCTTAGCTATGGAAGTTTTGCACAGCAATGTTAGAGGTAACATGGACTGATGGCTCCCTCCTCCATGGATTCTGTCCACTAAATTCTTTTTTAAACCATGTGGGACATTGCATGTTGTGCTTTCTCTGTCTGAACTAACTAAATGAGAAGAAAGCCTCACATACTGCAACATTCATTCCATGTCAGTGAACTAATGCAATCCATTGAGGAAATTAATTTGTCTTCCCTTCATTCCCTGCACAAAAGTCTAACACATATAAAGGACAACTTTATTTGATTTTATCTTTGTGACAATGTTTTGAATTAAGTCAAATGAGACAGTGAGACTAAATGGCAAAAGATGACCAAATGAGCTTCAAGCACTGTAGAGGCAAGAATCTTACTCTCTATTAACTAGTTGAATGTTGGCACCTTCACCAACCAAATCGTATATTGATTCTTTTCTTTTTATTCTATTTTAAAAATACCCAAACATGCTGTTTTGAACACCCCATCTCCTTAACTTCAGCACATTTTGAGCTTTTTTTCTTGATGCCATTACTACAGCTATAAGGTACCTTCAGAACCATACTTTAGAATTTCCTTGATGATCTGAAAATGTACAAAATATTTATTTGTAAAATATTATATAAGTTAGTAGTTGTGTAAAAATACAATTCTCAATAACTCTTATATCTACCTTGCTGTTATGCCAATGTTGGTATCCCAATGTTGCAAAATAAGAGAGTAGAATTAAGGAACAAAAACAGTGGTGACCTTTAAGCCCCCTATTAAATTTGTCAGTGGTGATTCTTTGGAACAAAGTCTTCCTAGCTCATAATACTTGTTCCTCTGCATTTCTAGAATGCACTAAAAGAGAATCAGTTTGTTTGCTGCTGTAGCTAGAAAGTGTGTGAGAGAAGAAGGCAAGAAAAGGCAAAGTTAAGAAAAATAGAGACAAATATAAAAGAAAAGAAAGAAATAATAGCTGGCAAGATGAAAAAAGAGGAATGAAAATAACAATTAAAAATGGCAAGCTAAAAATGGAAAGTCGTGGTTGGCAAGGTGCAAAATCTCCTATTTTTCTTTTCTGTAATGATTCTGTATTGGGGTTACTATGGCTTAATATCTGGTTTACATGTATGGTACTGAAACATGGTACTATTATGTTTATTTAGTCCTGGTAAAATAGTAAGTAACTGCATCAACTTTGGGGAGGATTACATAGGGAGACTAGCATTATCCCAATTTTTTCCAATGGATAATGTTATTGATAATGTTCTTAATATGTATGTATTTTCCCAGCAACTATATCAGGCAAGATGTTTGCTTGAAGAAGGAGATTTCAATGCTGCTAACATCAAATGTTCTTGCTTTGACAACAGATGGAAATGCAGCCATTTTTCTCTATTAGAGTTAGTTGATGCTGGAAGGGGGAATGTGGATGAGAGTCCAGCTAGTCATAACAATAATAACTCAGCAGTGGGAACTCAAGGTCATTGGGCCCAGAATTGATAGAGTTTTGGTGGGCTTGAGAGCTGGGGAGAAAGCCTGCGCTTCAAGCTAACTGGGGAATGTGATTTATGACTATTTATTGGAGGAGGGAATTGTGCTTTGTTACTTTGTATCTAGGGGAGGGGAATTTAGTTTTTGGTTTTGACTATGTAGTGCCGATACTTTGTTTCTCGAATAAAAGATTCTTTAAGGTAAACAATGCCTCGAAGTTCTTTTGAAGAGTTTCATCTGTCAGAACTATGACAGGAGATCAAAGAGTTAGTTCCTTGACATTAACAGTTAGCATCTTAACAAAGTCCATCTGTTAAAAATCTGAAATTTACATTATATTGAGATTTAATTATCAAGGAATTTATAGGAATTACTTCCAAAATCATCTCCTTCTATAGTATATTAATTATCACATGTAATTTCTATAGAAATCCATTTAAATGCTATTTTGGTGATGTTCCTACACAATAGGTAGACAATTTCCTGTTTCTAGTGCTATCTTATATGTATTTAATAGAATATTTAATAGAATATACAATACATTCCACTGTCTTCTGTAGGATTTAAGGTTAACTAGGCATAAGATTCTAATTTACCATAACTTTAAATGACTGTGTTATTTTCTGATTAAATTATATATATATTTATTACATATAGGGATTTTCAGTAAAATTTGGTTGTTAATTGCTTACTATTTTTCCCATTTTACTTCCTTTCAACTCTGTTTCCCACACCCCATGCCTGCAGTCTGCAGCCACAATGAGAGAGAAATTGAAACAGATCAACAGCTGGATAACTTGTACCTGAAAGCTTTAGAGGGTTTTATCACTGTCATCACACAGGATGGAGACATGATCTTTTTGTCTGAAAACATCAGCAAATATATGGGTTTGACACAGGTAAGAGTATTGTCTATTCACTTCTCATAGCAAGCTGGATATGATTCTCTGCTCCTCACATTCTGTTCATGGTAAAGAATTTTTTTAAAAAAAATAAGATTGAAAAGATATTTTCTATATATCTCAGAGAGATATTGATTCTGGTGTCCCTGCAGTATTGCACCATGAAGAGACCAATGCATTTGCTGTAGGATTAGAGACATAGGGAGATGTTCTGAAGCCGTAAAAGTTCTATGTATACAACTGTGTAGTGGGGAAGAATAGGGATACGTATGCATATATCTGTCCAATAAATCGTACCATCAGTTTGGACAAAGGATGTGAGATATTTTGTGCAGGTGGGATTCAGCCATGCATCCTCCTTCTGGCTTGTATCTTTTCATTTCACATTGATGGTTTATTTTGATTTCCATTATTGTCTACAGTTCAACTAAAGACTTGGGTGAGTTTGAAACTATAATTAAGGACAGGTCTGTACAACACAGTTCACAGGATGATCAACCCTGGTCTACAGATGGTGCTGTTAAAAGCCAAGTTGTAGCAGTGCTCCTCATTCATGACTTTATCATGGGTGAAGCAGTCAGTGCGGCATATGTAAATGAGACAAGGGTGGGCTTGAAGAGAAGTGTCTTTTTCTCTGAGGTATGCCAAATGGGTTTCAAGTTTAGAACTAGCTGTGATCCATGAGTAGAGAGGATGGTGTGGCAGTTGTCATTCAGGAAGCCCTAGTGTTTTTCAGAGGCTTTGCATTGCAGATAACTGGATATTAATCCCCATCATAGAAGTTGAGATCTAGGGAACAGTTGGATCTGTTGCTCCTTTCTGGATTTTCTGGTATGCAACAGCTTCATTGTTTGAGGTGCTCAACTCTGATGTTGAGATGTCCATGGAGTCTTCAAGTTTGATAACTTGATAAATTTCCTTAATGTGGCATTAACAGAGGAATTCACATAATTACTATGACTACCATAGACTGACCCAAGTTACTGAAAGCCCAATGCACAGAGGTAATAATATGCTAGATCTGCTTTTTATATCAGGACAGTTACAACATAATTTGAAGGTGGAGAACATTAGCATCAGTCCTTTGTCAGAATCAGATGACCCTCTGGTTGTTTGTTAGCTAACTGGGGCTGTCCCTTCCTCTAGCAGGAAGGAAGGCACTATTTGATCAGACTGTCCCAGGTAACTAATGGACCAGATTCATGTTTTACTTGGAGTTCAGTTGAGGCATTGAGCTCCATATGGAATGGGAGTACCATGGAAGTTGGGACCAGATTACTTCTATGTGGGCTTTCCCTGTTTGCCGATCTCATAGAGCTCCTTGATTTTCTAAGGAGTTTTGAAAGAGCATCATTGAAGAAAGATGATGAGTAGACAAGTTCCCAATAAGAAGCTTGCTGCTGACGGTTGCTGTTAAATAGCACAGTGGTGATATAATTCAGTTATGGATACTTGTGCCTTTGCTTCTAGAAGAAACCCTATGCTCAATGCTCCAAAGCTTCTGATGCATCCTCAAACTTTAAAATTCTGCCAGGATTTGGTCCCATATCATCTGTTTTCTCTCACATCTGCTCCTGCTGAATCAGCCTCAAGTGGTTGATTATTTAACTTGCTGGATCAGAATTCTCAGCATTGATGTTTTCAAGTTAGAGGAAACAGTAACAGTTACCTGGGCAATTTTTGACTGCCTTCAAAGGAAATTTCTAAGGAAATTGGTAGGATCCTCATAACTGTTAGTCTGTTTACCTGGTTGATTAAGGCCTGCCGAGAAACGATATGAGGTTGGACCATGCAGTGGTACATGTTTCCTGTCCTAAGAATCCCTTCTCATGGTCATCTATACTTTTTTCATTGCACATGTGGATCACTGCAATGTGTTCTACATGGGGCTACATCTTTATCATATGGCTTTTATGGCATTCTCTTATGTGGTTTTCATGTGTGTGTTTGAGAATAGATGAAATTTTTGTATGTCTGCCTGTCTGACTGTCTATCTATCTCACACATTGCACAGGTAAATTCATTTTGTAATTTTTTATTTCTTCCCTTTTTCTCAGTTGATTTTATTCTATCTTTTCTGCCAACAAGATGGAAATACCATTCTTGGTTTTTCCCCCCATTTTTCTAGGTGGAATTGACTGGCCACAGCATTTTTGATTTCACTCACCCATGTGATCATGAAGAAATTCGGGAAAATCTAAGTTTGAAAAATGGTAAATAATTTTTAAAACTGTACTTGGAGCATTTATTTTAACCTGAAGTTTGAGTTTTCAGAATTGCATTACATGTACACATCATTTATGAGCAAATAATCCCTGGACCAAGGTTGGTGGTGCAGTCAGGGACTTCTATTTTTTACTTTGTGTTAGTGTGGGCATATCCTCATCCTTTTACTCCTCTAGTTCTTTCTTCTAGGTCAATACAGGATTTTAAGGATAATCCAGCCTTTTTAAACTGGGATGTCTCCCCTGTACCTACCAGGTTTCTGGGCTGATCTCTGGCATGGGGACCTGGCTTGGAAAGATGGACCAACTGAAATAGTAGGCGACTGTATTCAAAAGAATCCTGAATTATGGCAGTTAAATTGTGTAGAGATGTATCTGTGCCATGAAGCATCTTGGTGATGGTATACCAGCCCCATTACCAGTCAGCTATTATTCAGGATTCTTCTGTTTTCCTTGTTACCTTCTGGGAGGAGGCTTCGTGGTATCCGTAGCAGAACATCCAGATTCAGCCATAGTTTCATTCCATACAGCATTAACCTTGTGAACTCTCAAGCTTCCTCCTTCCGTTATATATTCAAGATGGACAGTATTTAATATTTATTTGCTACGTATATGTAGGGGTGTGGGTCTATACATATGTTGTTCATAGTATGTTTAGGTGTGTGTCATGTATATGTTTCACTTGAGAGCGGGCAACTAAATTTCATTTTTGATGTGTGCCATTGTGCCCACAGTAAAAAAATGACAATATCCAGCCGTGAGGGTCTGGATGGGGGTTAACAGACTCAGGCTCAATCCTGACAAGACCGAGTGGCTTTGGATGTTGCCTCCCAAGGACCATGTCAACTGTTCAGTGTTGACTTTTGCGGGGGGAAATATACCCCCTTTGGAGTGGGTTCGCAACTTGGGTGTCCTCCTTGATCCACAGCTGAATTTGGAATATCATTTGACGGCTATGGCTGGGAAGACCTTTGCACAAGTTCGTCTGTTGCACCAGTTGCGACCCTACCTGGACCGGGAGGCTCTCCTTACAGTCACTCATGCCCTTGTCCCCTCACGTCTGGACTACTGCAACGCTCTCTACATGGGCTACCCTTGAAAAGTATTCGGAGACTACAGTTGGTCCAGAATGCAGCGGCACGAGTGATAGTGGGTGCTCCTCGGTACACCCATGTTACACCTATCCTCCGTGATCTGCACTGGTTGCCTATTGGTCTCCAGGTCCAATTCAAGGTGTTGGTTATTACCTTTAAAGCCCTATATGGCTCAGGGCCAGGCTATTTGCGAGACCGCCTACTACCTCATAGTTCCCTTCGTCTGGTTAGATCCCACAGGCTGGGCCTCCTTCAGATCCCGTTGGCCAAGCAGTGCCATTTGGCGGGGCCGCGGAGGAGGGCTTTCTCTGTGATGGCGCCCACCTCTTGGAACCAGCTCCCCCCGGAGATTAGGACCGCTCCCACCCTGTTGGTTTTCTGTAAGCTGCTTAAGACCTGGCTTTTCCGGCAGGCCTGGGGTTTATAAAATCTGACCCCTGGATGACTGTTCTTGTACTGTTTGTTTTGTTATGTTTTATGTCTTTTTATTGTTAGCCGCCCAGAGTCCTCGGGAGTGGGGCGGCTTATAAATTTAAAAAATAATAATAATAATAATAAAATAAAGGTTATCTTATCTTATCTTATCTTCTGAACCTGAGCTTAGCATTTTAAAGGCCATGTGTTTAGTGCTCCTCCTATATTGAATAGGATATCCAGTAACAGTTGTACTGAAAAGGAGCTAAAATAATTATTTTTCTTTTTCTTAGGTCCAGGTTGTGGGAAAAAAAATAAAGAGATGTCCCTGGAACGTGACTTCTTCATGAGAATGAAATGCACTGTTACCAACAGAGGCAGAACTGTAAATCTCAAATCTGCCACGTGGAAGGTAACTTTAGTGACAATGGTTGAAAAATTCAATCCTATTTTTCCCCCTCCACTGTTCTATGTTATAATAATATAATTATACAAACAATTTTTACTTTTCAGGTTTTGCACTGCACAGGACAAATTAAGGTCTATAATACCTGTCCTCCTCATGCTCTGTGTGGTTTTAAGGAGCCACTCTTATCCTGCCTTATACTGATGTGTGAGCCCATTCAGCATCCTTCCAATACTGATATTCCATTGGACAGCAAGACTTTCCTGAGCCGTCATAGCATGGACATGAAATTTACTTACTGTGATGACAGGTGAAATGATAATCTCTTTTTTGTTGGGAAACATAAGCAGCCTAGTCTATTTCTAATATGACTGATTCATTTTTAAAATCCTTAAAATAGGCAAAGAGAAGAGAACATGGTGGCAGAGTTCTAGTATATTACACTGGATCATCCACATCCTTTTGGTGGGAGAATTATATTCTCGCAATTTGAAAATAGTACTGGGGAGGTTGATCTGTACTAAAATTTTTCTTCTTGTCATGTTTTTTTTTTAATTTGAATATATCCAAAGGGAAAACATTCAAAATTGTTATCTCCCTCCTGTAGTCTGAACTGGTACAGTCAAGTCTATATTTTCATTCTGTTTCTGGAGGCCTGAAGTTTGATATATTCATATAGGAGGAATGGATCATACCTCTTCATTTTACAGAGAAGGATGTTCAAAATGCTAAAATCAAAAACAAAAATTTGTTTTCTAATAAAGAAGATTGTTTTTAATGGAAAGATCTCATCAACAGTATATTTTCATATAGAATCTTAAATAGAAAAATGCATTTTATTATAACTCATTTGGCCTAATATGCAGATTAGGACCATATAAATTTGTTTGTTTATTTATAAAATTTGACACCGATCTCATGACCACTTGTCATTCGAAGAGATATAGGAGTTGTATCCCATCAGTGTTTTGATTGTCTCAGAACATCAGCTGCAGGCTGGCTGTCCTCAGCTACTTTTACTCAAAAAAATTGAGCAATTGCTTTATGATGATTCTTCAAGTAATTATGGTTTCCACATAAAGCATAGTGCCAAATGTCACAAAACCTTAGTACAAAATTTTGCAGAGTCTCCTTTTGCAGTGTGGATTATTTTGGAGAATGTAAACACTACTGATATATGCAAGTAAAATTAAGCCAGAGAGTTTTATAAGCATCAAGGAACTGCATGCCTGCTTATGATATCCATTTGTAAAATATATTGGTGAGGGGGAAGCTTGCCAAGGAAAAGAAGAGAAAGTGGGATGTCCACTTTCTCTAAGAGATTGTGGTCAGGGAATGATTGATTACCTTTGATCAAATGCAAAATCACAAACGAACAAGAAAAATGAACCGAACTTATACACATTGAAAGCCAGATAGCTGGACTAATCCTCACTGCACCCAAAATATAGTGGAAGCCTCTAGGTTCTGTGCCTGTGGCAATTATTAATTGCCAAAACCTGATGTCCTTTAGTTATCTAGTGCCTTTCTGTTATACGGGGTGTTTTATATTCCTACTGAACAGAAACTGTATTTTGGAAACAACTACTCATGTATTTCCCAGCTTTTTAGTATTAGAGGGCATTTGACGATAGCTGTATATTTTCTGTTTTCAAAACATTACATATTGTTCTTTTTATACCATCAACACCTTGTCCCCATAGACAATTCTCACATATAGGCTACATAAGAAATTGAAGGGCATGACAAAGGAAGTGAACTGCTCTGAAAAGAAAAACATTTACCACCAAAACTGGAGAAAGAATAACCTTGATAAATGAGGCTGTTAAGAAAATGGTGCTGATATATAAGAAGTTAAATATATCCTGTATATAAAATGATGATAGTTCTAAGTATAGTAAATTGGCTGTTGGGAATTAGACATACTTTCCCAGCCATGGATTCTACAGCCCAAATATGGTACCATTTTCCCTCTTTGAGATTTCAATTTTTCTACATAGAGCACTTTTAGGACATTTCAGGCTGGTTGATATTCATTCATTCATTCATTCTGCGCCTTTTTTATTCTTACAAATAAGACAGTGAACATATCCTCCTCCTATTTCCCTACAACAACAAACTTGAGGGGAGGAATTGGGCTGAGAGAAGGTGACTGGTCCAAAGTCACCCAGTTGCCTTTCGTGGCTAAGGCATTTTCAAGAGTCTGCCTTTCCTTTGTTAAGGAGTTTTCATATTTTTTAAAAAAAATAGATGAACTGATCTCCGGGCAACCCTTCAAACAGAAGTTACTGTGAAGTAAAAAGCTATTTTCTGATTTTCCTTCAAGTAGAGAAATATCTTGTGACATAAATTTCCATGAACTTGCCCTTAAAATGTATCATGTCCTGTGATTTTGCTGCATGCCTAAGACTATGCAGATACAATCCACATTTTATAGATATTACCTAAACCTGGCATTGGCATAAAATTAATCTGGATCTAATGTTAAATCTGCATATAATTTTTATTTGTTTTTCTTATCAATGTTTGCAGTTATAAAATGGATTTTGCACTCACCTATCCTTAATTATAAAGCTAAAATGGTTGAAGTCAACAAAAACAGAAGGACTGTGAGTTCAGTTTTATTCTGATATCAACCAAATTTCTAGACTTTATAACTCTAAGCAAATGCTGTTTACCGTGGATTTTAGTTGATAGTTTGGGGAGTCAAGGGGGGAAAAAGCAGGCCTTCAAGCCTGAAGTTTAAAAACAAAAAAACAATTCTTGAGTAATGTTTCTTCTTGGATTTTATTTTGTTTTATATCATTTAGCATTCCAGTATAAGAATAAGCTTTTCTGTTCTTTCTGTGATGTTGTTTACTTATTTTATATTGGTTTGCAATAGCTGATAGTAAGATAACAATGCTCCCTGTTGCTCAGGACTGTTTGTGAGATCAAGATTGAGAAATCTTGCAAGCAGGGCTTATGAAAAGCTTTCTTACCTCTTGAAGCTAGTAGTCACACTAAGCATCTTCATTTTCTTAAGGGTAATAAAGAAATGTGTGTTTTCCTACTTTCCTCTTGTGTTCTCTTGATATATATTTTCTGTGTGCCTGTCTGCAATGGGAAGCACAGGAGAAGTTACCTATGCTAAGGTGCCATCACCTCTCTAACTCATTTACTCTGCCGCCAGCTCTACTAAATCTGTATTGGTTGCAACCAGCAAGAATTAAATAACAGCAAACCTACAAAAAAGAAGGCAGTGATCTAAAACTATCTTTTACTATATAGTGTCAACAAGATTTGCCAGTCTAGGGCTTCAGACAGGACTTTCTCAGTCCTAATGCTTTTTCCACCCAGTCACTTGGGGTCAGATAGCATATAAATTTTAATTTTAATATATTATTATTATTATTATGGTTGGTTGCATAGTCAGCCAGATGTTTAGACTGGATTGGGTTTTTTGGTCCACTTAATGAGTCCTTCCCAAGGACCTGGGATAAGCAGATACTGATTTTTAATAATATATCTGGCTGCTTCCATGCTGCTGTTCCTTCTTCCTATTGATTCCCTCTTATTAAGAATCCCAGGTCTTGTTTGCCACAATGGAAGGAAAATGGCTTAGAAAAAGGGAATTTCAGCAGAAACCTTGGTTTTTAGTTACTGACTTTAAAAACATAGCTTGTCATCCGTGGGCTGGAATCCTTCTAGATCAGTCTTTCTCAACCTCAGCAACATTCATGCTGACTGGGAAATTCTAGGAATTGAAGTCCACACATCTTAAAAAGTCTGGCCCTCCTATTGATCTGTATTTTGTGGGCAGTTTGAGCCTTTCCATTTTTGAACATGTAATAGTCTGTCTACAGTTATCATACATAAAAACAAAGTTCCATGATTTTTTTCTATTGTCTGTCCATTAGTTCTCCCCACCCACCAAAAAAGTTTTTGATTTTAATTGTACTTTAATTAGGGGGACTATTTGTAAATCCTTTTATTCAGCAACATCATCACTTGGAACAAGTGATTGTAAGTACCCAGTGCCTTGCCATTTTTTATAGTTTCTGCTAGTGGTCTAGTTAAACTCTGACAACTGCTTGCCCATTACCATAAAATGCAAGGATAAAGACTTCCACATAAACCAAAGCCAGAATAAATACAAAGTAGGGGTTTCATTTCTTTTTATTAATCAGGCCTGTTACAGAAAGCAACAACTCTTTGCAGCATTGCCTCCTCTCTATTTCTACTGACATCACACTGTTTCAACTCTAAACTCTTAATGCCAATGAATGATATTGGAGCGGGGGGGGGGTAAGAAATATATAAACTATACATGAGAGGTCAGTGTAAATTTGACTACATCTTCTGGAGATAGAGGGGATAAATCTGATACTGAACTGTCATTTTGCACAATACAGAGAGACTCCTAGACATGGACCCTCACACGCAGCAGCATAGGAGTCTGAACACTGTAGTTTCTTTCACGTCTGTTGCTGCATCTCTTATCTGTTCATGAACCATGTGCCACTTGAAAGGGATGAAGTAAATGATACGAGATTGACAGGCCATTTATCATCACATCTGGTCCTTGGTGCCACATGGACCAAACTAATGTGATTTCCATGCCTGCAGTCTGTATGCATTAAGGCTTTAAAAAGCATTGATTCTGAATGTTCTGTAGGTTTCAGAAATAGGCAAACCTCCACTAGGACCTCTCTGTTAGGCTACTTCAGCAGAGTATTCCAAGTGGGTCAAAAGGCTGAAAAAGAAATACTTTGGGTACATCATGTTTTATGGGGAATAGAATAAAATTAACCAATTACAATATTTACTTTTAAAAATTAGCCAAGGCCATATCTGTAATTAAAGGAGTAATGCCCCAAGGTTAATGCTGCTTAAAGATGAGCTGAATATTAACAAAAGCATATGGATAGTTTATCCAATTATCAGAAGTCATAATCCTTGGATAATATTTCAGTATAATATAAGTCGGGGTAGAATTTTCCTGTTTTCCACTTTGCCTGCTCTTTGAGAACATACCCATTGTCCTCTGACATTTAGGATCTAAACTGCTATTTGCCATCCTGCAGAAATGGTCTTAGTGAGAATGGGTGAAAAGGTAATGAAATAACACCTCCTTTGTCCAACAGATCTTCTAATCCAATAATACATATGATCCCATTGACATGACATTTTCACAGGATATATGTACTATAAGAAGTGCTTTAAAGGTGTGTGTATTTCAGAGGTTAATGCCACATGAAGGAAGTTAGATCCAGATTGAAAAGATGATAGAAGATTAAAATAAAGTGGTATATAAGAAGACTAAAGTGC